GTACCATTCGCCCTTCTGCAGATCGCCCACGGAGGATGGTCGCTTCATGTCATGGCGCGTACACTCAACCATGCCAACACCACTAGCCATGGTGCCTTGCGAGCCTCTCATATTTGCGAGCTTGACCGCGTCATGATTGCTGCACCCCATACCGCCTTCTTCTTTCATAACGTCACTGAAGATCTTCAAATGTTCCTTGTATTTCACCTCCTCGACAAAGTAGGCGAAGCCAGCATTGAGGCCAGGGTCGGCTTCGTCTGTGGAGACCTTCTTTCATTTCAGGTGGAAGTTGACGTCGATGCCGATGAACAGACGATAAAGCCAGCTGGTGACCAAATGTAAGCATTCACGTAATTATGACAATAAACTGACAGCCATACCTTCGTTCAGGAGGTGCAGTCTTCCAATCCTCTGGAAGATTCATGCCTGGATGTGGGCAGGCAGGACATTGCACTGCGCAGCTGCTGGGTGGTGTAGTTGCTATCTCTCCCAGATCGTGGCCTCGACCGAATCTCTTGAGCATTTTGAGATGTCGCCACTGATGTATCAACCACATCAGCTTTGGATAATGATCCTGCATAAGTTGTGTGAGTAGTTCAAGCAACAGAGCATTTCTTTATGGTTGCATACCTTCGGGGTGTTCAAACCGGTATTGTCTGTGCGGCGCTCTAATGTCATGTAGAACTGATATCCAGACATGTTCGCTTGTGTTGAGAGCAAATGGAATTGTTCGAGGAGTCAGAATGTGGCTGCAGTCTTGGGTTCCTTTGTGGTCGCAGGGAAGAGACGAGCATGTAACAATTGTACATCGTGGGGCTGCACAGACTCGCAGTTGCAAAAATCCAGCCCAACCTGATGAATACCTGATACGTCCAGCACAACGAAGTCATCCCCCCACATACGTTGAGGATTTGGGCAGCGATCACCAGTTGGGTGGCCCATCTGGATGCAAAGACCAAATTCTTTGAGGGTCTGTCATCGAAAATGTGTCTGCATCCAAGTCTAGATGTGCACTATCAGTTCCGGATTGGGGAATAGTCTGTGAACGTACCTTGAGCTGGTGAAATGGACTACGTTTGTGCATCGTAACAATGCAAGCCTGACAATACAAGGTGAGATCGTCACAGTCAAGGCAGCGAGTCTCAGCATTGTGATCACCACAACGTGGGCAATACTCCGCTGTGAATTCACAGTGACCCTCATAATGCAAGAGCTCTGCTAACCACTCCTCTCGACGTGGCACCCACTCACGAAGGGGGTGGTCCTGGCACCGGTGATGTCAATGCCATCGACAGGAGACAGACATTCTGCTGACTTACCCCAGCAGTATGGCAGCGCTGTTTCTGAGTCTCATCCATCTCTGATAACTCATGTATGAAATCGACATTGACATCTGCTTGATCAGGGTCTTGCAATGTCGATTCATATGAGCA